TTTAAATAGCTTCATTTTTGATACTTCCTGTCATTAAAACTACAGATCATTCATTCCCAGTTAAAACTAATGAAAATTATTTTGGAAATTCTAAGGGACAGTGGTGAACCAAAGGTAAGGTGGTGGGGCTGGTCTGCCCAGGTGCAGGCAGTAAGGAGGCCAATGTCTTAGAGAAGTTTAGATGGCAAAGCCCTCTAAAAATCTGTTCTCATTTTTATTATCACCATGTGCCCACAGTTCTAAACAATGCCATTGATAAAATACTCTTAGAAAGAAAAAATCTTGTTGACCTGAGTCCTAAACAGTTGAAGTTAGCGTTTTTATTTCATATATGCACGTGTATATGCTTCAGATTAGCACACTTCTGTTACTTAGCCGTTGTGTTACTTACTCTTTAATGGCACATGGGGACTCAGCCTTGTGTCTGTCCCTAGAGTCATGTGAGCCGCAGCTCCCGCCGCTTCCCGCGGTTGAACAGTAGATGGGGAAATGAGCCGTGATAGCACAGTCATTAGGAAGATGGGAAAACAGAACTTAAGTTACTTCAGTTCTGTCATTCTCTTACCACTTTGGGAGTTTTTGTGTTTAACGTTTAAAACCGTGAAACAGAGCGCTGGTTATTCCTGAAATAATTTTGCCAAATAAAGAAAACAGGGTCTTAAAAATGAATCCGGTCCAGTGGTGTCTACGCAGCGTGCCGCCGCAGTGGGACAAGGGCTTTTCACGAGCATCACTTAAGCACGGAGACTCAGAGAGACGGGAGCACGGAGGCTGTGGACATTTCCAGCAATTGTGCTAACATCCCATCACGGCAAATACCATTCTAAACTTCATTAACATTTTCCGATTGTGTATAGGGACGGATGATCTTGTATGTTCACTTCTGTGCTTGCTTCGGGGTTTAAGTGTCCGAGTTAGTTTACATTGTTAATGTCACCGAACTGAATAAAGGAAAAAAATGGAGCATTTGAAAAAAGGGCAAACAAGAAAGCATTGTGCCTCGGGACCTGAGGTGCCGTTCTGAAGAAACCTCCCTCCTGGTTATATCACTGACATAAGTGGAGGTCGGTGGTTTAAAAGAAGTATCCTGTTCTGTTGCCTCTCCCCCTGACTCCCCCCGCCCCCCATGCTCCTTCCCGCCCCACTCACACCAAAAACACCAGACTGCTTTTAAATGTTCACCAGGCTTTCAAAACACCTTGGTTGTATCAAAAATAATGAGTTTGTTAAAATATTCACTCTCCGTTTATTTATAGCCCATTAAAACCCTTTCAATGCTGGAAACTTTTTAAAGTTGAAAGAAAGGAAAAGTAGAAGTATTTTTTTTTAAAGATTTTATTTATTTAATTGACAGAGAGAGAGAGACAGCGAGAGAGGGAACACAAGCAGGGGGAGTGGGAGAGGGAGAAGCAGGCTTCCCGCTGAGCAGGGAGCCCGATGTGGGGCTCGATCCCAGGACCCTAATGCACCTTTCCTGCTGCACCTAAACTCATTATTGCATCCATGTTGGGAAGCACCGAAATGTTCATCAGTAGGGCACATAGTAATTATTAGGGTGCATCTGTGTCATGGAATAGCATGCAGCCACTAAAATGTGGGACTTACTAGGTTTTTAAATGGCTGTTCTTTTCAAAACTGATAGTCCATATCAGTACTATATGAGTTCTGGGATGTAGCTATATATCTAAATATAGTCTATATCGTATCTCTATTTTAAAGCAAGGTTTCGAAGAGTGCCACTTTTTGTGCAAAAAAGAGGGGATGTAGATGCTTGTGTATCTAAGTGCTAACTATCTCCAAAAGGGCACTTGAGAAACAGTAAGCATGGGTCACCAGTAGGGAGGATAGCAAGTTCAGGGGTAGAAATAAAATGTATACTCTTTTTCCAGTTCGATTTTTTTTTTTCTCACTTACCACATGTGTGTTTTTAGTTTAAAAAAAAAAAAACAAAAACTTGTTGGCACAAGCTAACAAGCTATACTACCATTATGAGAGCTTAAATCTCACCACCAAAAAGTACCTGAGCTGCTTCTCAGCCATGTGTTCGTGGCTGGTGGCAGAACAAAGCAGTGGTTCTTGAAAGCCCACTTTTTTTTTTTTTTTTTTAAAGATTTATTTATTTGAGAGAGAGAGTGAACACGGGGCGGGGCACAAAGGGAGAGGAGAGAAAGAATTTTAAGCAGGCTCAACACTGAGCACGGAGTCCCAACACGGGTCTCAGTCCCACGACCCTGAGATCACCACCTGAGCCGAAACAAGAGTCAGATGCTTAACTGACTGAGCCACCCAGGTGCCCCTTGAAGGTCCACTTTGAGTGCACGCCCCGTGGTGGCTGCCCTGGAAAGCTGGATACAATGCCGGGTCAGAGTCCAGAATTCCTGTGCACGGAGGACACATGGGTAACCTTCTCTGGCAGCTGGAGCTCAGTAGACCCCAGGGAGGTGAGGTGCAGATCACAGTCAGGCTCAGACATCATCATTTCTTGCTACCCTGCTCTTCACAGAGCCGACATCAAACCTTCAGATGTGAGAAAAATGTACACCTGGGTATTTTTATTTATTTACAATTTGTGCCCCATATAATTCCAAAAAGCAAAATTGTGAGGGAGTGTTACTACCTTTATGGGCAATATAAAAGTGGACAAGGACAAGTAAAAGCAGATTGTAATCCAGTAAAAGGGGCTGTACACTGGTTGTTGGTAGCTATTAGAAATACCCGGGATAGGTAATTACTATAGTTGAGCACTGAATTTAGCTTTGAATTTCTTGGCAAAGGAGGAATATAAAGCCTATGGTTCTTTTTATTTGAAGCCAGAAAATAGGAAGTTTTGCCTAAGAAAAGGGACGTTTTCTTGATACTCAATTCAAGAAGGAAATTCAAATGCAGATCCTTACTAAAAATATATATATAGGATGACTCAGGTCTTCCTAGTGCTTCGTGCACATCAAGGTTTTAAGATCAACTGGTCAGAATGTGCTGGAGCTCACAAACTGTGGCCTCGACCGTGCGGCAGGTGCCCCCGTCCCTCTCTAGCCCCCACGGCGGCACAGGCGCCGGCGCTTGTCTGTCCTGCTCTTTTGACCTCCTGGCCCGTCTGCCTGTGAGCTCTTCCAGCGTCATCTCCAGGCTGCGCCCACGGTGCCTCTTAGAAATGCAGACCTATGCCTTGGTTTGAGGATATAAGGCCCAAACCCTCCTGCCTCTCCTGCCACCCTCTCCCCTGCTCCCTTGAGCCCAGCCTTTTCTTGGCCTCGATTCTGCTTATGTGCCCTTTATACACACTCAGGGCACATCCCCCTGCCTCAGTCAGTGCTCCTTCCTCTGGAGCTGAGCTGCCTCATCCTTGAAAGCTTCCCCGACCCCAAGGTTGGTTCTCCTGGCCCTCTCTGCCTCTTTGAGGACTGCTCATCCCTATGGTGATGGCCTTCCTACCCAGTTGTGAGCCCATGGCAGTAGGGACTGGCCCAGGTCTTGCTCACTCTGACCCCCGGCTCCACACCCAGTGCCTGGTGTGCGAGAGCAGGTTGGTAGGTGTTGGAGAAGAGGGGCCATCCATCAGGGGTCCAGCCACTGCCGTGGCCTCCCAGCCTCCCTCTGCAGCGGACGCTACCCCGCACTGAGACCTCTGCCTCTGAAACACAGCTCCTATCACATCGCCTCCTTGTGCCAGAACTTCCCGAGAGTCCCCATTTCCTGCAGCATGCAATCCACACCCCCTTTTCAGCCCTCCACAACCTGGGTCCTGGCTGCATTTCCAAACTCACTTTTCCCAGTGGCCTCAGTCCTTGCTCTGCCGCTGGAAGGAGGCACCTGAGGCCCCTTCTGCCCCCAGTGTCCCCTCGGCCCATGTCTGCACATCGTAACCATCCCGTAAGTAATACCTCTGGCTAAAAGCATGCCTTCCATTGTCTGGACTCCGAGCACCTTTGACGTGGTACTATTTGTATCTCCGTTATCGCTATTTTGTGTACATAGCTCCCGCTTGTAGTCCTATATAGTGTCTAGCATGAACCTCACATAGTAGGTAATCATCAAATAACCTTAAATGAGTGGGAAATATGAATTATTTAGCATCTTTATAAGCCAGTCTTTACTAGGAACCATTTCCCTTCTGGATGCTGTAATTTGTAATGAAAAGTTTCTGTTTTTACATCTATAACAAATGGCCAGTCAGCTCTAGATCTCCCGTTCTTCTTTTTTTTTTTTTTAAAGATTTTATTTATTTATTTATTTATTTATTTATTAGAGAGCGAGCGAGAGAGAAACGGCTTGAGAGGGGAGAGGGTCAGAGGGAGAAGCAGGCTCCCCCCTGAGCTGGGAGCCCGATGCGGGACTCGATCCCAGGACTCCGGGATCATGACCTGAGCCGAAGGCAGTTGCTCAACCAACTGAGCCACCCAGGTGCCCTCCCGTTCTTTTAAATATATCTACAGATTAGGGCGCCTGGGTGGCTCAGTTGGTTAAGCGACTGTCTCCTGATTTCGGCTCAGGTCATGATCTCAGGGTCGTGGGATAGAGCCCCATATCAGGCTCTGCGTTCATCACGGAGTCTGCTTGAGATTCTCTCCCTCTCCCTCTGCCCCTCCCTCCACTCTCCTCTCTCTCTCAAATAAATAATCTTTAAATATATCTACAGATTAGTAACTATGAACCCCATTCATATACTGCTTTCTGCACACATTGCAGAGGCCTCATGGATCTTTTCTAACAAGGGTACAGTATTATTCTATACTGAACACAAGAAAGCAAACTGACGTAGGTGTGCGTCACATTGCCATTGTTCAAGGGGAGACTGCTGGAGTTAGCGTGCTTTTCAGAAAGTGACCAGTGGGCCATGGAACTTGTTTCTGGATGAGCATCACCTCACCACCTCCTCGAGCCACGCCTGCCCTCCCCTTGGCCCGAGCGGTCGGACGCCCTAGCCTGCCGCTCACCGGTCGGTCACTGCCATGACTCCGGCCACAAGAGGATAACCCCCACCTCCGTTTCCTTCCCAACAGGCCGACCTAAACTGCAGTATTCAGGACGATGCCGGGGCTTTTTACGGTGTAACCAGTCAGTATGAGAGTTCTGAAAATATGACAGTCACCTGTTCCACCAAAGTGTGCTCATTTGGGAAGCAAGTAGTAGAAAAAGTAGAGGTAAGTAGGCCTCTGTCCCCCGCAGTCCTCATTCAGGGGCAGACTGTCGCCTTCCTTTCAACTTTACATGGGGGCGGAGAGTTTTACCTTTTCGGCATCTCCTCCTCTCCCTTTCTCCCACCGCTTTCCCCTATTACTTCTGAAACGACAGAATGGTCTGAAAGTGACTGGAAGAAGGCAGGGAGGAAGCCCCATGCCAGGCCTCCCTGACTGGTCCCCCTGCCTCGTGCGGCCAGCAGCGTTCAGTCCGGCCCGAGGTGTCGTGGGGGTGCCCGCTGTGGAAGCGGGTGCACGCAGGCCCTGCCACCCACCGGATGGTGCCCTCCCCACCCCCAGGTCCAAGGGCACTTGCAGGCGTTGTAGAGAACAGCCAAGGTGGGATTCAGCTGATCAGCACCTGCCTTCTATAAAACCTGACACCTCAGATGGTGGTGGTACTTTTGCCATTTCCACTCCTTTAATCCTTTTAAACAGATGACAGCACGTACTGAGGTCAAATACCTATACATAGTTTTTATATTTCATGGCCTCCCTCCCTGTCAAAAAACACATGTTTTGTTTTGTTTTTTTTACCAGGGTGGGTTGCTTGGTGTGAATAATGTTTTGGAATTGACCTTCCTTGTAAAGTTGAATTTTCCAGTGTCTTCTGCCCATCCTCTAGTCGATCTGTGTTCAGTGAGCAGCTCTGGTTCACGGTGGTCCTGGAGCTTGCAGGTCCCAGAGCCCAGCCTGAGTGCAGCAGACTTGGTGCCGCGGCGAGGCGGGGGGGGGGCGGGGGCTGGGGAGGAGGGAGGAGTGCGGGAGCGAGCGTGTGGGTTTTAAGACTTGGGCCTGAACAGTGAGGCCCTGGAATGCTGCAGGCCCTGTAGCTTCCTGAGCACAGGATGGGCCTCCCGAGAATGGTGTTGAGGAGGGGACGCTAGCCAGAGGAGATAGAAGAGAGTGGACCAGATGGTCAACAGGAGCTTAGGCATCCTGAGCTTCACTGAAACGGTAGCAGGGGCCATCCAGTCAGACATTGTGAATGGAACTTAGAAACTCACTGGATATTAAAAACCCATGAGGAGGAAGAGTCAGAGGTCACACGTTTTGTGTTTGCAAGGACAGTGGTGCCACCAACAGAGACAAGAAAGGAAGGTGCTCAAGAGCACACAGGGGATGATTCTGGGTGCAAGACGAGAATTTGGAAGACGGGTAAAGACAGACTACCGACCAGGAATCCTAACCGTTAAGGATCATTAAAGCTATGGGAATGGAGAACTAGGGGCAGAGAGAGCGTAGCAACAGCACAAGAATAAGGGTTTAAATTTGGGAAGCAGTACACAGCCCTGGGGTGACAGGGAGACACCAGCAGAGGACAAAAGTGGATGTGAGAGGAAGGGAGCCGGCTCAGCGCATGTCTGGGAAGCCCAAGGAGAGGGTAGAGGAGAAGGTGGCCTTGTTATGAGATGGGCCTGGCAGGCCTGTAGCCCAGATGACCTCCCAAATCCTCGGAGAAGGAGGGAGCACACTCACCTGTCAGTGGTTGGGAATGTGGAGTGTTCCTGGTAGGCATGGCTGCTGAGTAGCCACATTGTCAGGGCTCCCCAGAGCTGGACCTCCTGCGTGGATGAGACACACCGGGCAGGTTACTCCCAGTTTCCCAGATTCCAAACTCTTTTTCTCGTCATGTCCTCCAGTAACACACCGAAAGCCTTCTGTAAGTTCAGGGAGCGGGAAAAGGTTGCCTTCGATTGATGAAGTCCCAGGAATTTTCATGGATAAGGTAGTGTGAGTGTGGCAGGTGGAGCTTTATAATTAAGCTTTTCATTCACTTAGAATGTACTTCTTCTGCATTTGGTGTGAGTTGGGAGTCTGCTTCTCTTTTCTTACAAATACACAGGCGTTTGTGTCAAAACCATTTATTCAATGATTCATCCTTTTCCCACTGAGTAGATCTGAGATCTGTCTCCTTTAAGTTACTGCATATCCTGGGAGCCATTCCTGGAGTCTCTCTGATTCCCCCCTTTGTTTATCTTGACATGTCCCAATCCCATGTTGATTTGATTACAGTGGCTTTTATAGCACATTCTTACTTCTGCTGACGCAAGTCAATCTGGCTGTTGTTTTCCATATATTTTCTAGGCTAGTAAACAGCATTTATTCTTCCAAAAAATGAGCTCACTTTAAAAAAAAAAGAAAAGAAAACCAAAATCCTCGCTTGATCAATCTAGTTGGAATTGTACTAGATTTAGACATTATTTTAAGATAAATCGATACATTACCAATACTAAATCTTTCCAATTGAAAACCTGTTTGCATTTCCATCTCAATAAGATCTTGTAGTTTTCACATACAGGTTTATCCCTTTTTTGTTAAATATACTTCTAAATATTATGTAATTTGTTAACGCAATTTCCCATTTCTAGATTTTAATTACTAGAAGAGAGGAAAGCTCTTGGTTTTTGCTTGTATTTGTTTTATCTGGCCAACTTGCCATATTCTCTTATTTATCTCCAGTGGTTTTTTCCCCTAGATTCTTAGATTTTTTTTATGTATATGGTTATAGTACCAGCAAAAAGAGAAGGCTTTATTTTTATCTCTTCTTTTCCAGTGTTTTTGCCACCTTTTCTATTTTGGTTATTTTCTCACCTCTTTCCATTTGCTAAAACCTCCAACACTGTCATGAAAAAAAGTAGGACAGTGAGTAGTAACTGCTGCCCATAGAGTTGGCTTTGGAGTTTTGCCATTTCGGGTTATATATATTTACTGTTGGATTTTATAAATGGTCTTTGTTTTATATTTAAGTGCTTTCTTTCTGTTCCCATTGTACCTAGGGTTTTTGTTAGTAACAGCTCCGGTATTTTATCAAATGCCTTTTCAGCATCTCTTCGTATGATTTTTCTCCCAATTCGTGGGCACCACGAGTTCATTCCTGAAGAAAGTCCTGCTTTGGACACAGTGATGTATTCTCTTCGCTATTCTACATAAGATTTTTGCATCTCCTAAGTGATATTAGTCTGTTCCTTTTTCTAATCTCCTTATGTCCATCAATTTCATAAAAAGAATTGGGACACCCGCCTTTTCCTATGGTCTGGCGTCATTTGCGTAACAGTGAGAGTAATTATTCTTTTAGAGTTGCATAAAACTCAGCGGTGGAACAATTTGGTCTTTGTACCTTTTTCGTGGTGAGTCTCTGAAAAATTTTTTGTTCATTTCTACTGTAATGGACCTACTAGAGTTTTCTCCTTCGTGGTCAGTATTAGTAATTCATGCTTTGCTGGGAAATCATCCTCTTCTCTAGGCTTTTTTGCCTTAGAGTTATGTGAAGTAACCTTTTACAGATCTTCCAATCTCTACTGTAATTGTGGTTTTGTCTCTTTTCTCTCTTAAGCTTGTGAAGGCTTGATTTTGTTTTGACTTTTTAAAGAACCAGTTTTTTAATTTATTCTGCCCACATATTTTATTTCTGTTAATTAACATCAATTTGAGCTTTTATCTTTATTAATTTCTTATTCCTGGTTTCCTTTGGTTTCTTTGTTACTTGGGTTTATTTTGTGGAGGGGGGGTTTCTTTGTTTGTTTGTTTGTTTTAAATTTCAGACATGGTTTAGTTCTATAATTTTTTTACCTTTAATGATGAACTCATGAAGCTGCTTCATTAAGTTTCCTCCAAGTACAGCTCCATCGGGTCCCCTAAGTTTTGATGTCAAGTATTTTCCTTTTCATTACTCTTGAGATAGTTTGTAATTTCCTTTTTAATTCTTCTTTGATCCAGGGCTATCTAGGGGTGTGTTTCTTATTTCTGAGTGCTTCAGTGGGATCTTCAATACGAGTATTTTCTTTCTTTTCCTTCTTTATTAAAGACATAAATAACTCACAATCAGGAGCTCATGATCAGTGTGAAGTCGTTTTTCCTGAGGTAGAGAAATTGGCTGCATTGGTCGTTGGCCTGTGAGACCTTTATAATGGTGGAGGAGGATTTTCTCTGGGCTCTTTGAAGAACTGTAATTGGCTGGGCCTTGCTCCCCCAGATTTCCAGGCAGAAAGTCACTAAGTAGGTGATTATATTTCTTTCTGACCTTTGCTTTCTTTTCTTTCTGACCTAGACAACCCTTCTTTAAAGCTACCCTGTTTCTACTCTTTTCTTTTTTTTTTTTTTTTAGGTCTCCAGAAAACGAATGGATTTCTGAGTATGCCATTAAGTTTGGAGACAGGATTTCTTTTAAATCAAGTCAACTATGTAAATAGTACAGCATCTAGTAGGCGACTCCTGTTGAAAAAGGAAAAATGCTTTTGCAGGCAGCAATAGCTTTTTCATGTATTTTGGAATCAGAAGTGTAAACGTGCTCAATTCCTTTTTCCCCTCACAGACGGAGTACGCAAGGTTCGAGAACGGCCGATTTGTGTACCGAATAAACCGCTCCCCGATGTGTGAATATATGATAAACTTCATCCACAAGCTCAAACACTTACCAGAGAAATATATGATGAACAGTGTTTTGGAAAACTTCACAATTTTATTGGTAACTGTTTTTGCCTCTTCTTGTGGCAGACGCAGTCTGAGGCTGGAGGGGAAGGGGACAGGAAGGTGGCCGGGTAGGGGTGCTGAGCAGGTTGTCGGTCGGTCACCATTTGAATCCACAGCGCCCAGGGCAAGCTGTCCTTACGAACCAGTTCTGAGTCTGTTTCAGCAACTTAAGGACTATGCCCTCAGTCCCTAACCCTACCTCACACAGCAGAGCCACGGGAAAGGAGGCCTGGAAGAAATTGAAAGCATCTCTTTAGCCACAAAACCCACGAAACAAAATCAGTAGTGCTCTTTCAGAACATGTGACTTCAAGCAGCCTAGATGTCCAGAGAGCATTAAATTAATTCCAAAATGTATCATTAAGCAACCAGAGAAATTCCTTTGCTATGAAGAATTAGTGGCTTTCAATAAGTATCGGCTAGAAATAATATTTTAGCTTTTAGAAAAGCCGAAATTAAACCAGCACTCCTGGATTAGGAGAATGAAATCATCTCATTGATAAAGGAGAAATAGTACTTTTCAGCTCTTCCTCAGGGGCAGGGTGTGGGAACACGGTCAGAATGGCAGCTGCTGGACGTAGTTGCAGGCATTTTACTAGGGATTGGATTACAAAGCCTGTGTCGGCAAGATCAATTCCAGACCTTACTGGTCGGTGAGCTAAACTCTGATTTCATCAGGATGATACAGAAATTGTGGTGAACCTGTAAATGCGGGGCCTTAGTGACAATATCCAGACAGACCGAGGAGGAGTCACTGAATTATAGGCCAAGTATTCCTATCATCTTTGGAGGTTGTATTCAGACATACATACAGGTTACTAGAAACATTTTTTTTTTTCTTTTCTCCCTTTGAATCTTACTCATGAAGTCTAGGACATATTTAGGCCACCTGGCTGGCTTAGTCGCTAGAGCAGGCAACTCTTGATCTCAGGGTCGTGAGTTCAAGCCCCATGTTGGGCCTTAGAGCCTAAAAGGGAAAAAGATAAATAGGACATATTCTTTCCTAGAAAGTTTACAAGAAAATAAGGTAAATCATAGAGGTTCCAGGCACAGTGCTAAATCTTTTGTAAGTGTGATATTATGAAATTCTCACTGCAGAAGTATGAGGTTATATTTATTCCCATTTTATGGATAAGGAACATTAGGCCTCCCTGAGGTCACAGAGCTAGTGACAGACATAAATGAAGACTTAAAAGGATAGGAAAGACACTTTGCAGGATATTTCATGATCATGGAATCAGAAGAGTGGGGTTTAAGACCCACCTCTACTTTATGACCTTGGTTTGGGTAAGTCATTTAAAGTCTCTAAACTCAGCTTCCTCCTCCATTTACAAACAAAACACTCAGGTCTTTACGCTCCACCTCAGAGGTTATTGAGAATATTTGCATTCATTCAGCTAAACTATGGAGAGATTATACTCGCTGCCAGAGAATGATGCAGATAAAACACAGTGCCCATCCCATAGTAAATCTTGGCCTGCTCGGGGGACAGAGGCAGGTGAAGAAATGGTTATAATACATTTGTACGATGCATGGCTGTGGTATCCTTGAGAAACAGACACCTGGACGTCCAGAGTAGTTGAACTTTACCTGAGCAGGTACCTGTAAGTTGGATTGAGGTGGGGGCATCCTCAGGCATGTTCAAAGCTGACGTTTAAGTTGCCTTGATAGATAAACAGACATTTTTCAGATTTACCAAGAAAAGGACCCTTCCACGGGTGTGTGCTTAAGTGTCAGGTGCTGGGATGTGAACTAGATGGGGGTGGGGGACAGCCATCCTGGAGGCTCCTGAGGGAGTCAGGCGTTCCTCAAGCAATACAAAAAGAAACGATGGCTGGTGGCTGGCAGAGGGCGGTACATGGTGCCAAGAGAGCATATGCCAGGAGTATCTGAGCCAAGGAGGGAGGTCAGAGAAGGCTTCTCTGAGGAAGAAACAGTGGAGGCATCCCTGCCAGACGACTGGGCGGGGAGGGCAGAGAAAAGTACCGCAGGTGGGCGGGCAGGTGGGAGGACTGGAAATAGGGTGGTGTGGCTGGCATAGAGAGAGAGAGGAGAGCAAGGAGCGGGGAGCTGGCCGGGTAGGAACAGCCAGACGGGGTCAGGGCTCCTAGGCCTTGCAGGCTTGAGAGTTAGGGAGTTGAATACAGGCCATCAGGGTTTTTAAGCAAGAGGGCAATGTTGTCAGAGTTGGCGTTGCTCACAGGGTTGTTGTGGCCGCTGTGTACCGACCGGAGTGGGATGAGGCAGGGCGGCTCATGGTGGGGGAGTCCAGGTGCTTCGCTGGTACCTGGGCTGTGGCAGTGGAGGAAGGGATGGATTCAAGAACTGTTCCGGAGGTAGAAGCAGCATGACATGGCATTTCTTTGCATATGGGGAGAGAGGGAGAGAGATTTCCAGGACGGAAGGCCAGCATGCTTGGAGTCTTCGATCTGTGAGGGAAGGGGCAGGAATTAAGACTAGGAAGGAAAGCAGGTGGGTACCAGTATTCAATCAAATCTTTATGACCCAGGGAAAAAAATGTAGATAATCTATTACTATATCCATTCATTTGTCTAGAGCTGCATGGCTTCATGGGTAGGTAGAAAGGTCTTTGAAGTCAGATCTGCATTTCTTCGTTGTATAAGCTTCAGTCCACTCCCCGGCCTCCCTCTCTGTCAGAGAGGAGCTAACAGGGCACCTGCTCCTGGAGTTGTTGTAATATTATACCAGACGACGTATATGAAGCAGTTCATACTGAGTAGATGCAGGCTATGCGGTTACTATATGTTGGCTATAATGTCGCTTGTCCTTCATTCGGCACATACTTATTAAACAACTGTTGTGTGCCAGGCTAGTTACTAGGAAACATGGTCCCCGTTCTTCAGGAACTTACAGCCCACTGAATGACATGGGCATTAAAAAAAAAAATCACACAAATCTAAGTGTAGTTACAGACGTACTGTGTGCCCTGATGGGAAAATTTTAAGTGTGTGAGTTTTTATTCTTCAGTCAGGGACCACACCCTCCGATGCCTTGAGGGTAAGGGAAACACAGTGGGTGAAACAGCCAACAGAGTGGGGAGCAGTCCTCACCCCGCCGACGCGTAGGACTAGGCCCTCAGATTCACAGTGTTTGAAGACACTGAGCTGTCTTCAAACAAAACACACACATAACAGCATCACCGAAGCTGTTGGGAAGTTGGGCTAGATTTGTTTTTAGAAAGTTTCCTTCTGGGAATGGCTCTGGGAAGCAGGCCGGGTCCAGTGGAGACCTGGGTCAGATCTGGTTGCTCAAGATAAGAACGTAGGCTAAGGCCACGGGCACAAGGAGGAGAGAGCTGGAGTCCGGTGACTTGAACCAAGAGGGGAAGCAGATGAATGTTTCCGAGTACATTTTGAAAGGTAAAGCCTGTGTAAATGGAAAGAGGGGTCATTTGACATGATTCTCCTACTCAGCATCCATGTTACTGAGCCCCAGCCCGGCTGGTTAACAATGCTGAGCTAAGTATTCATGGCGCTTCTGTCTCTCGTGGGCTGTTGTGAAACAAATCTAGTAAAAAGTTTAGGAATAAGACAGGAAGCAATTCCTAGGAGAAACGACTGTCTCCTGAGACAGAATTCTAGAAAATGGTCTTCGTTGTAAAGAAATCGACCCTCCCAAAAAACCCACGCTAATTCTCGTGGCCTCGGATTATGGGTGAGACCCTGTCCATGAGGTATTTCTTACATGCAGTAACTTAAGTTCAGCTAGGATTCAGGTCAGACCCAGAATTATCCCGAGTTTGTGCTGGATGGGGGCAGCGTGAGGCTGGGACATCGGTGGTAGTCTCCCTGCTGGACTTGAGCCTGTCCTTCTCCAAGCAACTAGGATTTGCACAGAGGGACTGTGTTTTCACCTGCGTGGTGTTCTCTGCCTGTCTGTGTATGTGTGTATATATATGGACTTTTTTTTTTTTTTAACAGGTGGTAACAAACAGGGATACACAAGAAACTCTCCTCTGCATGGCCTGTGTATTTGAAGTTTCAAATAGTGAACATGGAGCACAACATCATATTTACAGGCTTGTAAAGGACTGAACATGGTTATTTATATATATAGATATCTGTATATACACACACACACACACACACACACCCATGTGCGCACACACACACTCTCTCCATTATTGAATGACTGACTGTAAACCTCGCCACAGAGGGGGGGTGCCCTGGCCCTGAGGTCACCCTGACTTTTTCTAAATCCTGTTTGAGTGAAGTCATTATTTTTTTCATGTGTTCATACTATCATTGTAGCTGTGAAGTTCTGGTACAGTTGTAAAAAGAGAAATCTGAGTGGTTTCTATGTGTTCTTCACATCCGCAGCCCACAATTCCTCGGGAAAAGGTGACCCTTGAGAACCCGGGTCTCCTCTGTTTGCAGAGACCCGTTTCTAATTGGGGTAGAAAAAAAAAATTTGAGACAGAGCATTTGCCATGGGGCATTTACAACCTTTATACAAATGTATTTAGTTCTGTTTTTTTTTTTTTCCCAACATAAAATTCTTGTCTTAAGATACAAGTAAAATTAATCTTTAAATGTAAATGTAAATTAGTACACAAAACTAAGAATCTTTAGACTTATCTTTGTAACTAATTAGGGTGGAAGTTATGAAAGAATGTAATTCACTAAATTATTTTTTAAATGAAACTTTTCTTTCTTTTTGAAACCAAATGTTAAAATATAGCCTTAAATGCTTGGTAGAATATTCTAATGAGACAAATTTATACTTTTTTTTTTCCTCAACGTGAAAACTAATCTCTTAATCCATTAAACTCTTGAACAGGTATTACAAAGGAAGAAAACTTCACCCCTTATCCTTAACATATATAGTATATTTAAAAAATATAAAATTGTATTGTACTAATGTGATGATTATTTAATGAAAAAAAAAGATGGCTCTTTTTGCAATAAGTAGATAAATACTGAAAATCTAAACGTACAATGTTTATAGTCTTGTGTGTGCAGTTATATTTTCTATGGACAACCAAATTTTTTATTAAGATGAGTAAATGTTTGAACCACTGAAATTCAATAACAAAAATTTAAAATTGGCATGAATACTGCACTGTGAGCTGCAAAGTAGAGAAAAATCCTGTGGCTGGGAGAAATTTCATCAACCAAACAAGTAAAAGGCTCATCAGTTTTAGCATCTCTGCTCCCCGGAAAATTGCAAGCATCCTCACCAGCCTGTGGATAAATTCTTTCTGGTGAACCAGTATGCATATTAACCTGCTATAACTATGTGTGTACATGTGTGTTTGTGTGCACATCCACACACATATACACATACACAGTTATGAAACACATATTTATTGAACATCTGTTCAGTGTCATCAGTTTGCTAGGTGCTGATACGTATGTATTTCTCTATCTGTGTCCATAGATCTAAATATATTCTCAAAGGACGTCTGTTTGCTCAACATCCCTCAATAAGTCACAGTACTTGTTTGAGGTTTGAGAGGCCCGGCACTCTCTCTGACTTTTTTCAAACAGACTCATTTGGAAGGTTCTCTTCCCAGGAGAAATTCAACTTTCCAACCCAAATATTCCAAAGCATTGCCCAGGCAGAGTTGGTTTGAAGTGGCCACATGTCCTGGGTTATTTCCATAAGTGCTTCATTGGGAAGGAGACAGGGTTATACTCCCCAGCTTCCCAGAGGAAAGTGACATTTTTATAATTGCCAGGAATAGGTCAACACAATAGAACATGAAATAAGTTTTGTAAGTTGTGAAGCCTATCGTGGCTTTTTCATCAAGCCAGAAAAGAAATACTGTGTTCTTTCACATCCAAGTAACTTACCCGCTTCCCTGTCCTACCACCTGCTCTGACCCTGCTTGGATATTGATTAGAGTGTCTGGCGGTCGGGAGCACGAGGGTGTGGCCGGCTTGTGGCAAACAGGCCGCCACCGGACCGAGCCTGACCTCTCCCAAACTCATGCCACTGGTTCCTGGAAAGACCAGAGGAGAAAGTACAAAACTTCTCCCACTTGGAACGCACACCCCTCATATAAACCAGTAGGCTGATGTCTGTCTTCCCTCTGTAAAGAAACTAACATCTATTCTCTGATTCTAAGGGGGCCTTTGAAGGATTGCCCTAGTTGTCTGCCCTTCCATCTGGCCTTCCGCCCAGGCACTGAAGCTTCTTCCGTGGTCATCATACTTAATGGCTTCTTCTGGGCACCCCTCCTAGGGATGTTTCTTTCACTCTTGTCTCCCTCATCTTTCCTCAATGGAAACCCCACTCTCCCAGGGCCAGGACCCTATGAAGGGGGGTAAAGGATCTTCTGTGGCCGGAGCCAGCCCAGAACTTCAGCGAGAGAAGTATCTGATTCACATTCCCACACAGGAATGGGGCTCTTCTGTCTGCCAGGAGGACTCTTGGGATTTACTTTTCAAAGCACAAATAGACCCAAGAAGAGCAGCTGGAGGGTTGGTTCTGTTGGCTACAGGGAAGGGGATACCCTTGGGCTGCTGAGCCCACAGAGGCAGGCTGTGCCCTCCTCCCCCAAATACCTTCGGAGCTGAGTTTGGGGCATTTACGTGAACAACCTGGAGGATTGCGTTTTGCTCTTAAAAACATTTCTAAGAGCCTTAAAAATTTTACTTCTTGTATTGTTCTTCTAAAACTTTCTCCAGGGCGGATATTTTCCCTATCTTAACCACTGATCCAGTTACCCAAACCCTTGGCCCTCTCTCTGTCTCTGCCGAGTTAGGTGCTGGGGTGGGGTTCCTGCTGCAGCACCTAATCCAAGTCTGTCTGTGGTCTTTCCTCCTTTGTCTCAGTCTTCTCCCTTCAGCTGTCAAGCTTCCCAAAACCATAAAGAAGCCTTTCTAGGCCTCTGTCCTTACAGCTTTTACAGCTTTCTTTTGGGTGCCGGATCTCCTGGCAAACCTGCATTACCAGCCTTGAGTCAGGGGCAGCTCGTACTGCTACTGGGGAGTGTGGAGGCCCATCCTCCATAGCCGACACAGGAGAGAGCTGAAGAACTGGACTCTGGTCGGTAGGCATTCATTTCCATCTTAGCAAGAGACCTAAAAGTACTATCAGGACTTCTTCAGAACAGGTTCTGGAATCCCAGAAGGTCTATGCTACTCTAAGTCAGGGGTTCTCAGCCTCGACACTGTTGACAAGTTGGGAGCAGTTCTTTGTTCTGCAGGACGATCCTGCGCAGCGTCCCCATGGCCTCCCCCACGCCCTCCCTGCTGGTGCCACAACCCAGACTATCTCCAGACATTGCCACATGTCCCATGGAGCCCAGTATCACCCCCAGTTGAGAACCACTGCCCTAGATCTTACAGGTCACAAATACCATATTTGAGATTTTCTTTTTCCTTTCTGTTTCGCTCCAAGAAAGCTGCTGTCCTGGGAGCCTTGTTTCAGGTCGTGAAGAGGCAGGTCATATCCTCAAATGACATTACATCCCGGTCTCCTCCCCTTCAGAGCTTCTTTCACGGCAGAGTCTTGTCTGGCTACAGAGGATTCCTTCATTCATCCCCGGGGATGTGGGGAAGAGCTGGTCACCATCATCCCCATAATCATGTTAAGGTGTTTCTGTGATTTGATCTTCATTCCTTAGTTTACCAGCTTTAAAAGAAGTCCCAGCTATGTTCATGATTCTCATAAGCATCTGGGTCTCACGATCAAAGCTTTCATCATTTCGGTAAACTTACTCTGGTCTTCTGCTTTCTGCCCTACACTCAGTGCTGTATTTAGAATTTATGGAAGCCTTTGGAACACTGCATCTTTAAGGATGGAGATGAGAGGGACCAGATCTGGCAGCGGGCTGATAGATTTTTCTTTATTGAGCTAAAAGAGAGCACAAACTACTCTCCTTCATTTAGCGGATGGGGAAGTTGAGGCCCAGAGGGGAGGTGACTTGCCCAGAGTCACCCAACTGGTTAGTGACACAACCAGCGTGAGGCTCCGGGACCTCGCCACTTAATCCTTGGCCTCTCCCAGTGGAAGTTGTTCCTCTTTGGTGCTCATGCCTCAAAGATCCCTATGAAGGTGTGCACAGGCTCAGTGCAGAAGAGAGAGGGGCACTAAGAACCCCCCTCAGCCAGAGCACGGCATTGCCCCGATGCCGACGCCGCTTCCCCCACGGAGCCTCTGGTCTGATTGGAGCTACGTGAGGCAGCCGCAAGCAGATACAAAAGCTGATGAGCCTTTTTGCTTACCCTGAGGACAATGCACCTGCCACAGACTCCGAGTCTAGTTTTTATCTGCTAGGCAACCCAGCCGCCGTGTCCCACACTCAGACCAGCCAAAAAGCAGCCCCGTTCCTAGCACTTGGTGTGAGAAGTCCCCAGATGACTTCAACCCAAGTCTTCTTTAGGTCTCGATACTGTAGTGGCTTTAGCAGTCTGTTTTTGTACAACCATAAATTATTTAAATCGTCTGAGATGACAGTCAGTCTTACAAACCAGGTACACATGATTTGTCTCAGTTTGTATATGCTCTGGTACCCTACACCTGTCCTCACGAAGGGTGGAACCAATTCTGTGTGTTGGCGTTCACACCTGGGACATTGAGAGCATATGTCTGCATCGCTTCTTTCTTTCTGTTGATGTTTCTGTGGCAAAGCCCTGCACCTGTCATTTCTGAAAAGCCTTAAATCTTTGAGACGTTGCGTGTAGGGTGTGCAGTGCAAAAGGCTGCCTCGGAACTGTGAGCCCTTTTGTAAGCTGGAAGCATTTCTCTTACTACTGTTACTTTTTTAGGGAGTTTTAAATTCAGAGCTGCCAAAGCGTTCCAGTAAGCAGTGCCTTAGTGATTACCTAGTCATACCTAGCCCTCCGCGTCCATTTACTAATTGGCCCCGTATTTGAAACCACACAGGCAAAAATTGTTCTCATTTCTCTTTTGTAAGCCCATTTTTTTCTCCAGTTCTATAGGACACTGACCGCTTGGTCTAAAATCGGAAACTGAACACGAGTCGGTTCTTTGACCGCACTCTCAAATGTATATACCAAAACGGAAGGTTTTCCAACTTCGTAGTTTACTATGAAAAGCAAATTGTACTTTTAAAGTTGCCTTTTCAATTCACGACCAAATACTTAGCTATTTATGAATCTTCTGCGCTCTAGCATGGAAGTGCCTTTGGTTTGAGATTCCAGCTTAGAAAAGTGCTGCCATATAACGATAATTTGTAGAGAGACCAAAAATATTCTGAGATCACCGTAATGCCTTTGGTTTACCAGGATGAGTAACCAGCCACAGGCCTCTGTCCACAAGGGCGCGACGCGGACCCTGCCTGCCGCCACCACCTGGCGCTCAGCAGTAGCAGCGGCAGGAGGGACCCCAGGAACTGTTGTGTGTGTGTGTGTGTCCGCGACCCCGGGCGTCCTCTTGGCCCGTCACCCAGCCCTGCGTCCGTGTGAGGGGACTGCCACGCAAACGACAGACTTTCGGCCGGTGGACAGATTTGTCCTTCCCCTCATGTTCGTGTTCAGTCTCTGTGGAGGCTTTCTTTCCCATTCAGACGACAGCGCGCACTTCTCTGGTCTACGCAGTGACACCACTCTGGAAGTTGGAAGCCTCGAACCGAGATGCAAGTGCAGAACAAAAATGAGTTAGGGTCATTACAATTGAAGTGTTCTTCTTACGGCGGAAATGTTGACTCTGAGTGTTGTGTACGAATGTGCTATGAGAAACTTCCAAAGAGCACCATTCACAATTCGGCATTTTCAAAAGAATGTTCCAGCCCTCAAAAGGGCAACCCTTTAGAGTCCGTGTTGGCTTTTATTAAAACCTTGTAGAGATGGGGAATACTGATAGAGGTAAGGAAGAGGCATGGAAAGGACCAGAAGGCAAAAACACCAGCCAAACAAAAGCCAGGAGAAAAAAAAAAAAATGTTCTTTACCGATATAGACTTCACAGTGACATCAGACATCTTTGAAAGTTAGCCTCTGAACTCTTAATGCGTATGTTCTTTCGTCTCTCCCTGGTGTCTTTAAGATTACCCTGTCTGGGCTCTGAAATTTCAGGAGTGATTTCTACCCACACCAAGTTGTGAGTATTTATAGAAATTTCTACAAGAAAAAAAACACAAAAACAGTCAAATGATGAAAAGGAAAATGAGCTAACACGAGCGATGGTCAGTTGCTTGAGTTCAGCCCTCCCTGTCAGTACTGAACCACCCCTGGAAAGAAATGAATCAAATGCTTGTTTTCCTGCCTCTCTTTTCAACTGTTACTGTGCTTTGTTTGGCAATAGTTTTCTCTCATAAACTCATTGCTTCTGTTGTTAAGAATGAAGGTTTTGTGTTTAAAATTTACTGCATTTGCAAGGATAGTTTCGCTGAAGTCATGCACCATTAACTAAGATGAAATATTGGTATTTATTGTCCTACTTCCTAAGGCTATAGCTTGTTTTATTCTTTGTGAATTTGCATCGAGTCAGTCGTATGCCACACTACATCATTTTAGTTTATTTGAAATGGCGTTTATGTTCCCTCATGTTCCTCATCAAATGGGGTCAGATTCTAGGAGATGCCACCTCTCTCAGGTAGACTCTTGTCTGCCTTCCATTATGAGATGGTTTTCCCTTCCCCTGTCTCTGAGAGAGGCTGACAGAATCTAGGCATAAATCAATTGGAAACCAGTCTCTTATTTTATTATTATTATTTTTTTGGATCAGTCATTTTCTGTGATTAGTTTGACTGTGTAAATTAGATATTAACTGCACTTCTTTAAAAAAAAAATACATCTCCCTGTTACCTCCTTGAAAGATTCACTCTGTAGGCCTTTGTCAATAGGCTCTAGCCTGCAGATGAGGAAAAAGGAAAAAAAAAGAAAAAAAAAACAGTACGTGCCTGAAAAACAACAAAAAAATTTTGTTAACATTGAAAAAAGAAACCCGAATAGCCTTTAATTCTTTAATATGCTTAAATTTTATGTAAATTGGTTTTGCCACATGTGTTTGTTTGTTCACGTTCTAAATGACTTAATGGGATTCTCACAGTCGGCGTCTTTGTGTCCCGTGCATACTATGGGCTTGTGACGTAAGCGCTTCATCTGGTCAGTGGTCGCTTTGATATTGTACTGCAGCTGGGAGGGGGCTCCGGAACCTGCCCCCGGGTGATAAGGTTCCTCTCGGTAGATTGGAGATGGGGGTGGGGGGCAAATTCTCACACACGTTTTCTTAAAACTATTTGCAGAAACTTTCAAAAGGCATTTGGTTAAACCTCTTGGCAGTACAGTATTCTTGTATTTGTTAATGTCTGTGTTTAGGTACTGGTACCTTTTTGTTTAAAAATGT